CATGTTATGGTATTACAGCTGTGAAATTACAAACAAAATATACACATTCTGAGACATGAATTGTGAATTTTATTAACATTAAATCGTCCTCCTCCCATTTTCACCTCAAAATTTTGGAGAAGCTGTGCCTCCCCTGCCTACCCCGATGAGCCGCCACTGCTCTCTTTAGCAGCGAACAAAAATATTTCCAAGGCTATTGATAATATGCTTTTCATTTTTTTTATGAAAAAATAAAACCCATTATATTAAGAAATCGTACTCGGTTCCCTGAGATATGGGAACGATTACTGTGTCTGCTAAGACACTATGGGAAAAACTCCTTTTTCTCCAATGACTGAAGCTTTTTTCAATAGCGCAGTGTAACTGCATGGCCATTGGTTTGTACAGTAAATTAAAAAACGAACTAATGGCTTGACAACGGAGCTGCACAAGCCTATGGCGACGAAGCCCACCAGAGTAGCCATCTGGCTATACAAGCAGGCATATCACCATAGGATCCTCAGGTTACTTTGACTGAAACCGGAAATCGAAGGGTTACGACGTCATTGGCAGGCGACACAATGACACTATGGACACAGTCCGTGTCACTAGTTAAAATTGCTTATTTCTCTGGATTTAAACATTCTTCAAAACATTTGGGATAATGTCAGTACACAAGTCAGCAAAATATATAACACTGTTCTAGTGGTTTTTGGATATTTTAATAAAAAAATCTTACATATTGTGCCTTTAATGTCGTTATCAGAGGCGTCATGCCCATTCAAAGTGAGGGGGCACGTGCCCCCTCAAATTTTTGAGCCAAAACATAGACAAAAAATAGCAGAATAATATTTTGTATATTTGATACAATCACACCAGCATGATTAAATCGTTCAGTGCAACATATCAGCTGCTAAATTAAAATCTGCATTCGCTGGCTGGCGCTGTGTTTTTACAGCACTGCGCATTATAACCAATCACATACTATTCTGTTGAGCTAATGAATGCAATGGCCAATCAGAGGTGTTCCGATGAGTCATCACTAAAATGCAGGTGTTTTGTTCACTGGCTCCCTGACTGAATACCTCTTTCTGGCGAATTCTCTCGTTAGAAACAACAAAGTGCAGATGTGTCTGGCCTATATAATTAAGATATTCATTTCACAGTGTAAACAGCTTCAGTGACTTTAATGGGAGTTTTTGAGAGTGCTTGAACTCTAGGCTGTCAGTGAAAATGTTCTTTGATAATGTAAATGTTCTTTGCTCTCTTTCTGTACAATGAAAGTGTTACAGTAGAGTTTTTTTCAACACTTTAAAAGTGTATATATGAGAACCACCCACAAAGTGTTAATTTAACACCTTCAAAAGTGTTGCCTCATGCAACACCAACATAGTGTTAAAATATGAACACTAAGTGATATATTAACACTGATGCAGATAAAAACAACACTGTTACAGAGCTGGGTGCAGCTTTGTAGCAAACACTGGCAGAGTTTAAATTCTACACTATTCCGGTGTTGACTTGACACTTTGGAAAAATGGAAATCTCAATATACTCAACTTTATAAAAGAGTCAAAAGTTACACCATTCTGGTGTTGACAGAACACTTTTTTGGGAGTTACTTTCTTATTATGGTTCTGCATTACCTTCTAAAAAACTGTAAAATAAACTAGAAATTCACTATGAAGAAAACGTCACTCTGTTACTGTTTCAAAACTTTATTTCAGCACAGAGCAAGAAACCATAATGCCATGACATTATTACAAATAACAGTCCACAACAATGTAAAAAATACATTGCCATAGGACATTTAAATCAAATGGCTTGTAGTAGTAGTAGTAGTATACTTTATTGTCCTCAAGAGGAAAATTGTTATGGACTACATGTTGCTGCAGACACACAATAAACATATAAAAAACAAAATTAAATAAAATCATGAAAATAAAATCAAGATGAACTCTTGTTGTACAACCGCACCGATACAGGTACAAAGGAATTCTTATATCGATTTAACTTACACATTGGAATTCTATATCTTCTACCAGAGGGAAGTAGTTCATATTGTAAATACAAGAAATGAGTTTGATCACCAAGAATCCTCTCTACCTGATTAAGAACACATTCCTCATATAAAACTTGAAGGTTAAAATGTTCATCATGCCCAACAATTCTCCATGCTGTCAGTAACAAGTGCATCAACTTAGATTTAAACTGTACTGATAGGTTACCAAACCACACTGTGATACCATACCTAACAATACTTTCTAAAACAGCTTTATAAAACAGCAGCATAAGATTCTTGTTTACTCCATAGAGACGTAACCTACGTAAGAAATACAATCTCTGAAGTACATCAATTCCTCAGGTGTTTTGAGTACAAGACTGTGCTCTTGTTCAACAACACTGAAAGCATGAAGGTGTTCAACAAACTTTGATTCCATACACGATAAATGGAATCAAAAAATAAATTCCATCCTCAATAAAAATTTGAACAATCTTTCCAAAAACAGGTGCATCATCAACAAACTCTAAGCAAACAACAAGACCACTGCGATACTCAGTACCATGACACTTTACCCACGGTGTGACCATTACCACGCTAGACATATCAATCTGGAGCTGCTCTGACATAAAATCACAGTTTTCAAGGTCAGACAACAGCTTATTTTAAACAGGGCCATACTCAATACCCTTGATAGTACAGGACTCCCAGTAATAGGCAATGGCTACCTGGTGTTTATTTGCAAGTGATTTGGTCAGGTTTTTGAAATTTTTTAGATTTCTCTTAAAAAACCTGTGTTTTGCCTCATACCTCATTGTCCATACATGAATCAATGGGCCAATTCTGATGCATTCAGGGTAGTGAATCATAAGGTGGTATTTTGGAATTAGATTCCTAGGATACAAATCCTTGAACAACTGATGAACCTCTTTTATCAGATGCTTCAAAAATATTATCATTCCTTCAGAGATGCAAGGAGAAAAGATAATATTAACAATATGTAAGAGCAGCAACATCAAATGCCAGTGCTCATCTCCCTCTGGGACTACATCTCCAAATATGAGAGGGATGTTCTTAATGAGACACAATGTCTGACTTGCATTGAGAACAATGTTGTTTCCTGCTTGTTGAAGGTTGACCTTGGTTGAGCGGCTATTTCTTTCCAGAAAGCCATAGTTGAAGCCATACAATCTATGAGGAATGGAATCGCCAGAAATTAGATTGCAACTCATATATTCAAAAAGTTTCACTTCATACTGTGCAACTCCCTCCAGGATATCATGCATAATATCCAGCACAAAGTTCTCAGATACATTAAAGTAAATCAAGGTATTGAGTATAGAATTTCTTTTAACACCATAACAGGAGTTTTCATTGGGGTTGTCAGCAAGATACTTGTAATGCTCCTCATTTCAATTTCTATTACGCAATATCACCCGTGGATCATCCTCACTAAATACTTCCTGTGCTAACACCTTGTCAGTGAGACAGAGTCTGCAGTAATGTTTTGCAGAAAAAGATTCAAAATAACCAAGAATAGTATTTAGACCTAGGTTATCACCCGTAATTTGCGCATTAGTACCAAAGATGGGCTCCTCAGAAAATGACACCGTCATTCCCTTCTGCTCAAGTACTTTCACATCATCAACCAATGGGGCAAGTACTTTGTCCATGCCATACTTTTTTCCATCTTCAGAATGGAACAAAGAAATTAGATGTATGTTCATTAAGGAAGAGTTAATGTGTGCTGGCAGGTTACGAAGTACAAAATATAAACAGCCAAGTTTATGAATCCCTGCTTTAGATCCTAATGGGTTTGCGGTTTCAAAATCATCATAGTAAATTTGGATTTGAAGTGCATTGCTGTGGATGGAGTACAAAGGATGTTTTTTGTAATACTGTCCATCACAAAAATCTCGATACATGTCACTCAAGTACTTTCACATCATCAACCAATGGGGCAAGTATTTTGTCATGCCATACTTTTTTCAATCTTCAGAATGGAACAAAGAAATTAGATGTATGTTCATTAAGGAAGAGTTAATGAACACAAAATATTGAATGTTCTGATCAGTGATAATGACTTACATATCCAGTCCTCCCTTGGGGATCTCTGAGTGAGGGAAACAAGGTGATAATTCCCAAACCATACTTCTGTTTGGTAAGTCGATGTGGGACCCTTCTGAAGAATGGGAACACTCAATGTTACTTTACGCTGATAGGAAATGTTTAAGAACATTTAATTAAACAACTGTAACTTTCAGAAAAAAACAACAAATTTGAAAATTTGCACAAATTTGTAGCACCCAACTACATCTATATACTTCATAATCTATATAGCGTCAAAATCACTAACAAACTGAATAATGCAAGACTGAATTATATTTTTATAATTACCCTTCTGTCTCCATCATGTGTGCAACTAAGATGTTCACCATCACTTTCCTCGTTTCATCACTAATTGTCCTTGTATCTTCATACTCCTTAAGCACATTTCCTCCACCTGGTCTTGTCTGTGGAATTTGTTTTATCAGCTCGTTGGCTGTCTTGTTATTCGAATTATTTGTGATCGAAAAATAGATAAGACTAGGACAAATTATAAATATTAGAATCAATTTACAGTCTGTATCTGTATTATAACATGAAAATATCAGACGTACCACCACTCTTCCACTGAAGTAAAATGGCGTCCGCATCATTTTCGATCAAAATGACGTCTAATCTGCACGTTAACGGACGTGGCTTGATTAACTCTGAAAGAGAGTTAAAGTTTGCAACTACAGGTGCATCTCAATAAATTAGAATGTCGTGGAAAAGTTCATTTATTTCAGTAATTCAACTCAAATTGTGAAGTGCAAACTCACCAGACCTGAACGCCATAAAGAATCTATGGGGTATTGTCAAGAGGAAAATGAGAAACA